ACTGCTGTGATCTCTTGTAGCGGGTCATCTTTCCCGGATGTAAGGGTAGGATGAACTCTTGGCAGAGGGAAGGGAAAAGGGTGGAAGAGAGAGAAGTGGAAAGTTGGGGCCAGTGATGTCAAGAGGTAATGGAGTCGATTATCCATCTTATCCAAATTGAGCAAAAGGTTTAAAAAAAAAAAAAAGAATCTGAACTAGTTTCCCAGTAGTAAAAATTGAGAGGAATGATTCAAACGACAGTGATAGACTCCCAGGGGCTTTGCGAGTGATTGGATGTGAAAAAGGAATGAAGTAGATCAATTGTAACCCTATTGACTGATGGTGTCATTAACAAATAGAGAAATATCAGGTCATGAGGGCAGTGATGGTTCAGTGGTAGAATTCTTGCCTTTTATGTGGGAGGCCTGGGTTCGATTCCTGGCCAAGGCACCTCACATGCAGTCATCACCCATGTCAGTGGAGGCTTGCGTGTTTCTATGATGCTGAACAGGTTTTGGTGGAGCTTCCAGACTAAGACAGACTGGGAAGAAAGGTCTGGATATCTACTTTCAAAAATCAGCTAATGAAAACCCTATGTATGAATCACTACGGTCCAGTCCACAACAGATCATGGGGATGGTGCAGAACCAGGCAGCGTTTTGTTCCATTGTGCATGCGGTCGCCATGAGTCTGGGGCCTGACTCGGCAGCAGCTAACAACAAAAAAATCAGGTCAGGACAATTTAGTTTGGGACTTGTGTTTGAGTAGCCAGGAGACTGAGTAGAAACGTCCAGGAGAAAAGTTGAGGCAGCATGAGCTTCAGTGAGTGAAGCAAACTGTAGATAGGTACTGGAACTCAGCAGAACACAGAGTTGATAGCTGTAACAGTAGATCATGGTGACAAGTGAGAATAATACATGTTAAAGACCAGAGCATGGTGTGGAACACTTATGTTAAAGTTAGGGAGAAGAGTCAGAATAGGAGTAGTCTTGAAGGTGTGATACAGATAGTGAAATTAAGCTAACAGAGTTTTGAGGAGGGCATCACAGGAAAAAAAATGTTTTCAAGTTTTGCGTCAATCATTCTAGGAAGTGTCCTACAAACGGTTTCATGGAATGGAGTGACCTCAGTCATTAAATGTTCCAAAGAGCACAGTAAAGGCTGACTGAGGCCCATCTCTCCTGCCCTGCCTCTTCCCAGGGAAGAAGGAAAATCTGTTGAGCCTTTTTCTTAAGCAACACGTTTTCTTCAACCCTCTCTCCCTATACCCCTCTGGCTCCCAATCCCCAGCATACTGGCTAGTTGCCCTAAGCTGTTTGGGCACACAGGCTAGGCTGAAATGCTTAAGAACAAGTCTTCTAAGCGATGTCCAGAAAGAATGTTGTATTTGATTGAGGATAATGCCAAAATTCCAGCTCTCTGATCTGCAAACTTTCAGAAACCGCTTATCTATTTTATGCTTGCTGTCTAACCAAGAACATATGAGATCAGGGTGCAAAGAATTATTGCTTCCTGGTAATACTAAATCAATACCAAATATAGAACATAAGCCTATTGGGCTTAAGGATCAGGAACGTTTGGAAATAAGCCTTTCTGTTAAATTGTTTTGCTAACCTCTGAAATGAAAGTAACAGCAGTCTCCAGGACCACTGCAGTTCTAAGTTACCAAAAAAGCTCTCTAATGTAATCATCCTGTTTTTTGTTGCCCCTCCTTAAAGACTTCATTATTTAATACACATATGAAAGAGTGGAAGGGAACACAATTAAAAGTTGGGTTAGTGGTAAAACATTTTTGGAACATTATACAGGAAACCTGTGAGAGCTAGAACTCAATGGGACTGCCTTGTTTTTCTCGGTCTTGCAAGATGTCCACCTTTGACAGGGTGCAGTCACCACTTTTCTATTGCTCTCTTATTCAGTGGAAAAGATTTGCGTTTTCCTTTTCCGCCTTACACAGGTTCCGGCTTTCGCATATTTTACGGTACATCTGATTTAAATTTTTTAAAGAAAGTAGTTGCTTGGCTAATGTTATAAATACCTAATTGGCTCAAAATATGATGTTGAGAATTAGGAAAAATTGAATTTTCATGCGACATCAATTCATACTTGACTACATTCAATTTATTCTTTATTTAGAAACTTCCATGCTGACTGACAGCATAATTGAGTATCTGTGTTATTTTTACCAACAATTTATTTTCAGACAGACAGGTAAATGTTGCTTGAAATTGCTAAATGAAAACAATCTTTTTTTTTTTAAGCAAATGAGCAAAAAGCATGATATGTAAATCAAGTCAATTTTTCTGGTTAGTCATAGGTTTTATCCATACAAGGACAAAACAACTAGTTGAAAAGGGAAAAGTTCAAATGGTTTTATCTTGTTTTGACATAACTGACCAGTTGTTAGACCCAGTCATAATCTGGGGAATAAGAACCATCACATGACAGATAAAAGTCATATAAGAGCTCTTCAGCAGAACAGTACATGACTCCATTAAGTGGATTGAATCGAGCCACATATGACCCTGCACACAGAGAAGCAGGTCCATCTGGCGACAATGGGCAGCTATGATCAATCTGTTACTTTTCAGAAAGCAGGAGGAAGGAAAATGCCTTGCCACTTACTACTGTTAATAATACATACAAAACAAAACCTTTTGACTTTATAGTCTATATGGGCCTCACAACAAAACCAAAACCCTACAGAATGTAAGCACTCTTCTGGAGTGGAGGAGGCAAACACAATCCCTGTAGATGGACTTTTAAATTGGTACTTTTTTAGGGATGGCAATTTTTAGCAAAACTTTAAATGTACATACCCTTTACTTTGCAGCTCCACTTCTAGAAATTTAGCCTAAAAAACTATTTGCACAAGAACAAGAAGATGGGACTGAAGAGAAAAATTCCAGTTCATCCATACACTGAAATACCATGGAGTTGCTAAAAAGCACAGGAGAAATATAACTGTACTGATTAACTCGTGTAACACTGTTTAAGAGAAAAAAGGTTGCAGAACTGTAATATAGCATGATCCTATTTGTATTAAAAATAGATATGTGCAGAAGCATTTAAAAGGCTAGATAACAAGTCCTTCAGGTGAGTAGGATGGTTGAGACGGGGGGATTTTCACATTTCCCTTTATATATCTTTGGGTATTTTAATTTAGTACAATTACCATATACAATAAAACCCGCAAAAGCCGGAAACTGTAAGGCAGAAACCCATCAGAGAAGGAAAACGAAAATATTTTCCACTAAAACAAGCGACAGAACAGTGGTAAGACTGCACCCTGTCAAAGGTGGAAAACTTGCAAGACTCTGAAAAACAAGGCAGTCTCGTTGAGTTCCAGCTCTCACAGGTTTCACTGTATCACTGTTTTTAAACTGAGGTAAAATTCACAGTAACATAAAATTCATGCTTTTAATGTGTATGATTCAGGTGTTTAGTATATTCACAAAGTTACACAACCATCACAACTATCTAATTCCAGAACATTTTCATCACGCCAAAAGAAACTATGCCTTCTGCAGTTACTCCCCATTCCTCCCTTCCCCCATCCCCTGGCAATCACTAATCTGCTTTCTGTCTCTATTAATTTGCCTACACTGGCTATTCCACGTAAATGGAATCATACGATTATGTAACCTTTAGTGTCTGGCTACTAGGCATAATGTTTTTGAAGTTCATCCACGTTGTAGCATGTATCAGTAACTTTACTCCTTTCTGTGGCTATATATTACTTTCATTATAATTTAAAATATACTCAGAAACAGCAACACCTGTCCTTTTTTTTTAAAAAACCTTGTCCTTTTGTACAATTCACTTTTAGAAACTCAACAATGCATCTGAATCCAGCGTCCATATTAGTTTCCCTGCTCCTAACACTCCTTGGATATCTATTCCTCTTGAGTCCCCATTTCAAAGATTACCCGCTCCGACAGTATTTTTTTTTTTTCATATATGCCTCTTTACACAGCATTCTTCATTTACACAGCAAACCAAGTGAACTCCTGGCATGGCAGCAGTGTCCCTATCTTCCCCCTACTGCCCCCACCCCACAACATAAAAACATTTGTAGCCAGAGACAGGTACAGGCAAAGGTATAATCTGGGTATTTGTGGATGTGCTGTCTTTTGACAAGAACCCGGGTATGGTTGACTGACTTCATTACACTGACCAAATGCAGGCTGTGTTTGCTACAGCGTAACACTTTAAAATAAAATGTCATCAGTAACTTTCATAGTAACTGGTATTTTAGAGTTGTATCTTCTGGATAAAAATCAGGAGTAAACTTTTGCCTTACGTCCTTAATGTCCACTTATTTTATTATCTGAACAAGGCAAAATTATGTAACGTTGATTGATAAAGCAGCCCTTGGCCTCCACAACTGAGGACTCTAATGTATAAACATAAGAGGGATTGGGTTTTTCCTTGAAAAAGATGGATTTTGCTGCTAGGGAATTTTCCTAGGAAATTCTACCAAGTTTATGCTTTGGAATGACTTCAGCAATTGCTGATGACTGCACAGCTGAAGAAAAATAGCTGTCAGTAGTACCAATTAGCTAAAGAAAACCACATAACTCCCTATCTCTATATTTTCGCTGTGGTAATTAAAATGAGAATAATGAATTTAAACACACACGCACGCACACACCAGGCACTACTAGTTAACATTTGCAGAAAAGCACATCAACCACTAGTTCTAGCATTAATCAGAACCTGTTACTTGATTTTATTCCCCCTTTGAACCAGAATGCAGGTTAGGAATTGTGGGCATGGAACGATCATATTCTACTAATTAAAATTTTGATTTCTGCCCTGGATACCCACCTTTTAACCCCGTTCCAGGGGATCTGATTTAAGCCGTAGATATTTGGACCATGTAATAAAAGAACCAAGATGTAATACAGTTCTATTGTACTCAAAAGAATGCCATTTCTCTCCATGATAAAACTTTTATTGTGAAACCTTGAACTCAAATTCATGTTATATAATAGCTTTCACAAAAAAAGACATACAAATATGAAAGTCATAACTCATTTATTGAATGAATAGTATATGCAAGAATACCAATAAAAGGAAACTAATACTACAAACTACAATTTTGAAAATAAAGCCAATATAACAGGAACAAAATATACATAACATGAGAGGAATGTTTGATTTTGACCCATGAGCATTCCTTATCTTTACAATTAACCTAAATGTCCATTAGAACAAAGCCGTGTACCTCGGTCTAACTTTAGTGCTTTATAAAAAAGCAACAACACTCCAGGATACTTTTCATTTTGCTTTGAGATATTTAAGATTCACACATTTGTTCAAGTACATAGATTCTGATTCAACAGTAGATCTACATAGCTTGTTATTCTCTTAATATCTTGTGTAGCATGTACTCCTGAGGAAGTACAATCTGAAATTCTAAAACTGCTGATATTTGAAATAAAATTTATTTCAGTTGTGGGTTTTTAATAAATTGAGATGAAAGTAAGATGCCCTCCCCTCCCCCGCCCCTCCCCGGAACAAAGAGCTCTTATTAAAGTATAGAAACTCAAGTCTATCTTTCTACTCTAAAGAACATTTCTTACTAACATTTCTGGTAAGGCAATAAATGCTCCAGAATAATCTTCAATATACGCTTGCAAAGATTACACTGTTTAATATCAATAACAAAAACAAAACAAAAAGAAAAAAAAGGAAAGAAGGAAAGACGCTTTAAAATTTCAAGCTAAAATATGCATAAAAGACAGTAATGGCAGTATTTTTTGAAATGATGTAAATGCTATATACTTATCAAATAATGTCATGCTTATTAAAACTACAGTTAAGGACTTAAGAGATGTACAGTAAATACACTGCTGAGGTACATTTTTCTAAATATTAATACCACAATGTAATTACTACCCAGATGATGATGATGCTACTTGGGAACAGAAGTACTGTACAATTTTTACATTGTAAGGCACTTTTACTCAGCATGTGACAAAAAAATGGGTATAGAATCAAAATATTTGAAGTTTACAACCAAAGACTTCATGTGACTTCAATTTTTTAACAAAAGATTATTAGCCAATCACACCACAGTGAGAGAAATAGGTAGCCAGCCACTTATCTAGCCAACCAAAAGGTAAAGTGCTATTCTGGTTGCTAGTGGCAGAGAAAGGGCTGAAGAAACCCAGACAAAGTCATATATTTTACTACATAACAAATCCATCAACTGACAGCTATAGTATTTGAAGTCCATTATATAATTATTGACTGGCCATTATTACCCCGACACCTTCCATTTTTCCTTAAAAAATCATTACAGTAGTTGTCCAAAAATGAAGGTGTTCTGTTATTCCATGGGTAAGCCTATGGCACACAATGTAAAAAAGATCTAGACACAGTGATGTAAGATTTAAAATAATGGTTTTCAAGCTGTTGTAAGGAAATAAAAGTACAGATCCTTTGGGAAAAGTCACATAGCTTGGTAAACAAACATCTAGATCTGTCCTTGCACTTCAAGTCATGGTGAATTTTGAAAATTAATCACATACACACGCACACAAAAAAACCCAATGGCATATTTAGAGCAAAAAGAGAAAACATACAGGGCAATCCACTACTAAAGCTAGTTTCCTTCTAAAAATAATAAAAGATGGTTAAAATAAAGCAATCATTGAGTCCCTTGACTTAAGTAAATGTATGAATATACACTTGACAAACATGACTTTAAGGGACTAGCAGTTTTATAAAACTTAGTCATTAAGCACAGTGTAATTTTCCACCTGTTTCATTTTGAAAATGCTTTTCTATCAGCTGCAGAGTATCTTGATGTATAGTCAAGTTAACACATCGGTTTTTGTATGCTAATTTACTTTAACGTGGCAGGTTACCTAATAATTCAGAAATCAAAATCTCTATCCTTAATATTGAGGTGCTATGGTAACATTAGGCAGAGCACAACTAAAGTTTTTGGTTTTGCTGTAAAGGAATATACAAATGCGCTTCAGCAGGTAAGTGGAAGAAAATACCACTAGCTAGAAATGCCAGTGTGAAAATCATTTCTAAAAAGCTGGGTTCTTAGGCTTTGATAAACAATCGCGATTATGTATCAATAAAACAATACCAAGTTCTATCCGAAGGAAAAAGTAGGGCATAAGAGCCTATTTAGTAGATAACCAAAACAATGAATGAAAACATTAAAAATATTAAATAGTTTCTAAAATAGTGGTCACAAAATTAAAAATAAATACTGTTTTATGCAAAGACTTTTTTTTTTCCTCCCATAGCACATGAGACCTCCTTACATACTTTGGGCCAATATGTGAAGCGTTTCACACGACAGGGCACTTGAGAGGAATGGGTATCAGACAGGGTGGCTAGAGTTCTTAGTGAGTGGTAACCCTTTAAATCTTAAAAGAGATTTAATTTGCTGTTGCCAAATGTTAGCTGAAACTTGAAAAGGATTCGATCATTTTACCAGAAGCTCTTTTTATGACATGGAAAGAAGTGTCAAGCGGATTTTGGCATAAGCACTGGAGCTCATAGCTTAGAGCTGCCTGAGTCCATGCTGGTCAGTGAGAACTTTAACAGGAACCAAATAAAAAGCTTTAGCACACTTCTTAGATGAAATTTTTAGCATGTGCTGTCAAAGCCAAGAGAAAAAAGAAAGTTCTCTTCATTTCTAGTCATCATTACTTAATGTGAAAAAGTAATTCACAAATTACCGTGTTGCTGCCAGCGGCACGTTTGCATTGTAAAGTAAAATTTGCTTATGCTTTCCCTTGAGTATGAACCCACTAAACAAACTTAAACATTCTAATCGGTAGAACTTTGTTCGGTCCAGATATATAGCTTACTTCATTTCAATGTCTGCTTGAACTGTTGTCACTGTACACAGGGTTAATAGTGTTTCAATTGCTTCCCAGAAACTGCAAACTACAGCTACGTAATATCCACACGTCAAACTCTGCCATCTAGTGAAGGCTCATAGAACAAACAGGACGTTTTTAGGCAGTTCAGTAAAGGATCTAAGAGTTGGGCAGTAAAAAGTTACAAACCCTTTTTGATTTTAGAAAACAGTGAAAAAAGAATAGTAGTTATGGATGTCTTATTCACTCCCAGTTTTCTAACTCTGTCCCATGAACCTGTTCAAAAGATGATAAAAAAATGTAAAATATGATGCTTGAGGGGGAAAAAAACAATAAATGTTATTGAGGAGTGAGAGTATCTTATTGATTTTACTTAAAACTACATTTATTGATAAAGTGGATAGTTTCTTTTTACTGTTACAAAATCAGCTAGTTAAAAAAAAAACTATGCAAGCCTACACAAACCTCTGCATTCTAATAACATGCTCTTAACTAAACATATTAGCATTAAAGTCTTACTGCATACCACTACATCAACATTTACTGATGTGTATTGTATCCTGACAACAGATCTGATATAATTAACTTTCATACCTAGTTTCCATTAAGTTGCTGCTGAGTCAGTTGTTGCTGATCAATTTCTACTTTTCCACGACTTTTACTCTCTCGTTCCTCGTCTTCTTCATCCCTTTCATCGTTTCCACTATGATTTTTACAATATAGTCTGCAATGAGGAAAGACAATAATCTCAAAATGTTGTTGTCATTGCTGATGAGAACGCATTTACGCCATCATTAGTGGATGAGGTTGGTGCCCCTTTTAAATATGAGTTTTCTCATCCACACTTTACAACCACTCCACAACTAGTTACAGGTCTACAGTTATGTAAAAGACAGGAAAGTGCCCTATTATTCAGAAAACGCAAGCTCATCTGAAATAAAACCTATGGTTTAAGATGACAGTTAAAATGATCACATATGCCCAAACATAAGGCAATTCATTTTGCCCAACAAGACTGAAAGCAAAGTTTTTGGCCAACTTGAAAATATCAACTTTCAGGTATACAGATGGAAAATAAAATGTCTGTAATTTTGTTAAACATACAAAATTTTAAAAATCACATTTCAGGAAATGATATATATATATATATATTCTATACATACTGCTGCTTTCCACTCACATTTCATGAAACAATTTTATTCAAAATCTTCAAATGTCTTTTCATCATTAGTGTCCTAGCAACTCTTTGTCATGTAACAGTTTTCCAGGCACTGAACTTGGCTATGTCTTTCTTAATCTAGATTGGCCCCTTCAACTTCTCCATACAAGTATACACAGCTAACCAGTTATCTTATCAACTACATTCTGGATTTATCTGATTGTTTCCTCTTGGTACTGGTTTTGTTTCTCTCTCACCATGTACTTCTTACAAACTGGAAGCAAGGTCTAAGGGATTGATTAGCTTCAGATTCAATTTTTTTCAGTGAAGGATACTCCGTAGGTGATCCTACATACTTAAGGAGCCACGTAATTTTAGAATGTCCCACTATTAGTGATGTTGTGTTTGATCATTTGGTTAAGGTGGTGGTAACTGCAAGATTTCTCCATTTTAATCCACTGTGGGTTCTTCCCTTTGCAATTAGCAAGTAATCTCTGGAGTGAAACTTTGACATCATGCTGTTACAACCACCTTGTATTTTGGTACATACTCTGTATATATGAAACTCATTCAGTTCTTAAATGAAAATGATGTAGGTGATTTGGACAAGGGTTTAAGTCACCTTAATGTATGCACACCAATAGTTTCTAGAGTTAAAATATCCCCCACCCCGGTGGGCTGATTTGAGCTCAGTTTTAGGTCATTTACATGCAAAATGACAAAGAGAAACAATGCTTAGAAAATGTTCACTGGATGCCCTCTTGTGGTCAGTAATGGATGAAAAACAAGATCAAATAGGAATTCACAGAAGCATGTCACAAATAGATGATCTAAAATGGGTTTATTATGAGAAATTTCTAACATTTGCATAGAATAAAAGGCAGGGGAAATATAGGAGAGGGCAACAATAACAAGTGTCTTCCAATCCAGTTTGGCTCATCCTTTTCCTTTTTATTCTTAAAACATTTTCAATAACTTTCAAAGAACTATGGAGAATTTGTACTCTTCAAATGCTGCACACTGGGAACCACATCTTTTTTTAAGATCATGATGAGTTGAAATATTAGGAAGTGAGATTCATACAAATCACCACCTACGAAGCATTTGTCCCAAAAAATATAACCTGAATCTTGCCTTTGAGCCAATTCACAGTTTATAGGAAATATGAGGGATAGTGAAACAAGTTAAATGTCACCATAAAAAAACAGACAAATCTAGACTATGAGACTTTTACAGGACAACTTATTGGGTTCTTCAGTAAATAGGGGGAAAAGACAGGGGAGAGATGGGGATTGTTCCATATTAAGAAAGACTTAAAAGTCAAAGTAGGCTGGGTATGAGATGATACTAAGAAATTACTGTTAATTTTAAAATGCGATAACTGCACAGTGATTACATAAGAAACACCCTTATTTTTAGGAGATTTATGCTGAAACATGTAGGGGAAAAATGATAAGAGGCCTAGGATTTTGCTTTAACATACTTCAGGAGTAAAAAAGATAGCTACAACAAACTGGCGATAACTTGGTAGCTACTGATATAAGGATTTGTTATACAACTCTATTTTTGTGTATATTCAAAAAATTTTATAACAGAAAGCTTTATTTAAAAAGATGAGTCCTTTGTTTGCAGAACAAATTTGAATCTTTTAATGAAATTACTTTTCATTCAAGGAAATGTTTACCATAGGCCCATTATGTGCCATTCATCAGTCTAGCCACCAAGGTCACAGGTGACAACCAAATAAGATCCCTGCTTTCACAGGACTTACATTTTTATAGTGGTGACAATTAAAATAAATACATATTTAAATAGTTTTAAAATACAGTAAAACAGAGTCACTAATCCTCCTTCTCCTTTTTAATATGAAAAAGATCTTAGAGGGCAGTTAAGGAAGGAAGGTCCCATTTAGGGAGAGAGAGAAACCACTTCATTCAGAAATATTCCTCCTATCTGTCCATTCTTCTCTCTCTGAACTATTTACATATAGACTGTCATTTGACCTCAATGCTCTCTATGAAAATATAATCTGGACTCCACATTATAATCAGATTTTAGAAACAAATGTGAAAAATAAAAAGAGCTATTGAAATCATCACGGGTCCTAGTGCAAATATTTTTGTTCAGGGATTGTTACTGCAACATGGTTTTATAATTGCTAAAACTAAAAATCTAAATGTTTAAAAAGGGAACTGATTAAATAAGTTGATATACTCATACGATAGAATACTATGTAACCATTAAAATGGTGATGTACAACTACTTAATGTGACAGAAAAATGGCTCAGACATAGTAAGTGGAAAAAAGATTATAAAACAGTGTGTATAAGAGAATTTTGTTTTTATAAATATGCACATATACACAGTCACACAAAAGCCTAGAAGAAAATATTCCAAAAGATTTAAAACTGCTATCTCTGGGTAGCAGAATTAAAGTTGACCTTAAGTTTTTTTTTTTTAATTTTCTTTTTTTCCCAAAATGAAAATGAGTAGTTATTATAATAAAAATATATAAAGTTAAAATTTAAAGACAATAATTCCCCACACAGTCTGATGTTAGATGTTTAAAATGGGCCAGTTATTTTAAAATGCAATTGGCTATTTTAAATAATAAAAGCAATATATTGCTCATGAAAATTTAAACAGCACAGAATCCTATAAAGAATATATAATTGGCTCTCCTCCTCCACCCCTATGCAACTAATGAGGGGTAACCACTATTAAGTTTGGTGAATATGTTTCTAGAAATTTTTCTATGTATACAAAAACATATACACGTGTGTTATGCATGTATATATGTACTTTTTATTTGGTAAAAAAGACTATGCATGCTGTACTATAACTTGTTTTCTCTTAATATATCATAGAAAGACCCCTCCCCAACTCTACACATGGATCTACTTCATTCTTTAATTGCTACACAGTATTCCACTATATGTATGTATTAAAGTCTGTTTATCAAGTCTCCTAATGGACATTCAGGCTATTTTCTTTTTCCGTTATTGTGGGTAAAAAGTTAGCAAAAAATTCTTTTCTCATTCTGTATGAGAATATGATCTTTGGTTAACTCTACAGTTCTGTTCCCCTGGCAACTTACTAAAAATTGGTATGTCAACTACCTTACAAGCTATATACCCTGCTTGGAAGACTGTAACTGGACGGGGAGAATTATTCTCATAGGAAGCCATATCTTGGGGTATCTCGCAGTGCAGTGTGACTAACATGTCTCTTGTGGGGAATGCGAAAACTATCTATGCCTGTATAACTATGTTATAAGAGGTAGTGGCCTCTATGGGTTTGAGGCTTTTAAGCCAGGGTGGATCCCGTATCTTATTGGGCCTGAGCTCCACTGCTATACTCACTGTTGAAAGGACTTCCACAGAAGAGGAATATCTGATACTGCCCTGCCGGCAAGCTCTAGTCCTTCTCAAGTAGACTAAGCAGCCTGTAAGTCTTGTAAGTCCAAAAGTATACCTGAGTCTAAGAAGATGCCCTAGTGGGTATTTATAGTAATGATACTCTAAAGGGTAATAATAGCAGCTATCATTAATAATACAATGAAACTTTTTGCATATACATCTTTGCACTGTTGTCTGCTTACTTCCCCAAGATAAATCCCTAGAGGTGGGCTAGTAGCAAAAGATACACACTATTTCATTTAAAGCGTTGATCTCCAATTATAAACTGCTCTACAAAAAAGCTGTACCAATTTACATTCAACCTTAACACTGAATGAGAATGTCTGTGGTCCCGATAACGTAGCGAACATTAGATAATATGCATCCTATTAATCTTTGCCCATCTAATGGGCAAAAATCTGATAGCATTTCTGTCAGTACTAGTAAGGTTAAACATCTTCTCATATGCTAATTATCCATGGCTATTTCTTCTGTAAATTGCCTGTTTATATCCTTTGCCAATTTTTTAAATGGGCTGCATTTTCCTTTATGATTTGAAGTTCTCTTTATGTATCGACTCTGACTCATAGTGACCCTACAGGACAGAGTAGAACTGCCCCATAGAGTTTCCAAGGAGTGGCTGGTGGATTTGAACTGCTGACCTTTTGGTTAGCAGCCGTAGCTCTTAACCACTGCACCACCAGGGCTCCTGTACTTAGTATAAAAAAACCTGTTGCCGTCGAGTTGGTTCCGACTTATAGCGACCCCACAGGACAGAGTAGAACTGTCCCAAGTGCTTCCTAATTTATAGATGCACATGAGAATCACCTGGGGAGTCATCAAAATGCATGGTTTGGGCCCCAACCTAGACCTACTGATTTTAAATCTCTCAAGGTGGGGCTTAGGCATGAACATTTTTAGAGGGCCCAATCTACCTCGAAGTGATTCTGAGGCACACACCTGGTTAAGAACCTTTGCTCCTTTAACATTAAATACGTTATTTGCTGTTTTCTCCTAAACACTCTGTTAAGATGTTAAGGTAGTGATTATCTATTCCTAGCTTACCAAGGGCACCCTTGTTACATTACTTCTGAAAAATCAAAAATGGATGTTGAATGTTATCAAATGTCTTTTTACCATCTATCAGGAAGGTGATAAGATTTTTCTTCTTCATTAATTATAATGGATCACATTGTAAAATTTCCCAATTTTGAGCAGTTTTTAAATGCCTAGAATAGAGCTGCATTTGATTTGTTATTATTTTATTTAGAATGTTTGTATACACATTTATAAACGTGAGATTGCTCTATGGTTTTTTTTAATGCTCTATTTGTCAGCTTTGTTATTATGGTTATACAAGCTTTGCAGAATGAGCCAAGAAGCTCTTCATCTTTTGCTATGTGCTGGACCTCTTTAAATAACACTGGAATTATCTATTCTTTGAAGGTTTGATAGTGCTCATCTGAAAAACCTGTGCCTTTACTATTAAACAAAGTCTGGCAAATTTTATTACACAGAATCAGCACATTATGCAGTTACACAGTGACTTGGTGACTGCATGCATAAACGGCGGATTACACAGGACACTAGACCCTGAAATCATGGGTTTGTGCTCGGCATGTGACAGTAAAAAAGTGCTTTACAACTCTCAAAGGCAAATTAGGAAACCCTATCAATTTATTCCATTAGGTTAAACAAAGGGAACCATTACAGACATACACCAACACCACTAGCCCAAAGCAGTACAGATGAGTAAAAGACCCATAGAAGAAAGGATAACATGTAATCCTCAATCTCTAAACCTAACTCCTTCATCATTCTTCCAAAGTCTGTAGACTTCCATTTTCACAATTATCTCCTATTCTAAGCTACCAAAAATTGTCATCTGCACTATCTGCAACAGACTCCAACTCATCTCCCCATTGCCACTCTTGCTGCTATCCCACCACAGGGTCTTGCACATGCTGTTCCCTCTTCCTAGAACACTGTCTCCCAACCACATTCATCTTCCTCATCCCTTATATCTCACCTCAAGCACTATTTCCTTAAGGAAATTCCCTAAACACTCCCCCAGTACAGACTAGGCTAGCTCCTTCTTATTATATATGCTCACATCACTTTGAAACTTCTCGTTCATGGTACTTATATCATTTATAATTATTTTCTCTGTCAATATATGACTTATATAATATAATCTCCATGAGGACAGTCTGTGCCTGTTTGTTTTAAATAATTTATTTTTGTTATTGTTGAGAATACACACAGAACATACACCAATTAAACAGTTTCTACATATACAATTTAGTGACACTGATTACACACGTCAAGTTGTGCAACAATTCTCACCCTCATTTTCTGAGTTGTCCTTTACCATTAACATAAACTCACTGGACCCCTTAAGGTTCCTGTCTAATCTTTTGAGTTGCTATTGTCAATTGCATCCCATATAGATAGATCTTAAAAGAGGACAATGCTCAAAGCAGACATTCTTTACTAGCTAAGCTAAACTACTGTTTGGTTTTAAGAAGACTTCAGGGGATATTTTTGGTTTAAGATTTAAAGATTATTTCAGGGCAATAGTTTCAGGGGCTCATCCAGCCTCCATGGCTCCAGAAAGTCTGGAGTCCATGAGAATTTGAAATTCTATTCCTGTGTTTTCCCTGTCTTGATCAGAATTCGTCTACATAATCTTTGATCAAAATATTCAGTTAATGGTAGCCAGGCACCATCCGGTTTTTCTGGTCTTGTGGCAAAGGAGGCAGTTGTTTCTAGAAGCAATTAGCCACACATTCCATATCCTCCTCCTATTCCTGACTCTCCTTCTTCCTCTGTTGTTCCAGGCAAATAAAGACCAGTTGTTGTGCCTTGGATGGCCACTTGCAAGCTTTTAAGACCCCAGGCACTATGCATCAAACTAGGAGGTAGAACACGAAACCAGGACCCTAAACCTCCAAACCAAGGAACCAAATCCCATGAGGTGTTTGGTTGTACATAAGCAGCCTCAGCAGCTACTCTTTTTTTTTCTGGTCATTGTTGTAAATATATCCTATCACACAACTTTTGCCAATCCAACTTTTTACAGGTATGTGTTTGTTTTGATCACTATTGTATGCCCAACTCCTAGCACAATGACTGACACATAGCAAGCATAATAAATTCTGGTTGAATGAATGCTAATACAGGGGTATGTAATCAGAGGAAAATGCCAACTGTAGTACTCATGCCTTATATAATATTCACAATCTTCTATACCAAGCCAAACACCACCTAAGAATAGTGGTAAAATAACCTAATGTCATCTATTTAAGGGTAGTTACTTACTGACATATTTAGGAAAATGGACAATTGTTTCTTACTTGTAAATTCCTCGTGACATATTTTCAATGTATTTAGCTTTGTCTTGTACTCCACAGTGGTAATGGTAAGTCTTAACACAGGCTTTTATTTCACATCCAATAGTAGCACCGGGCTGACTGCAAAGTGTACATTTCTGTTTAAGAAGACAGAAAGGAATAATCATAAGTAGTTTTTCAAAGTTCATGCAATCTTAATTATTCTATTTAGGCATAGTTTAGCCAAACATTCCAGTTTACCAAAAAAAACAACAGCTATATTTTCTACTGAAAAAAAGGAGTGCATTGAATTTGTATGTAGCATACATATCAAATACTGCAATTTAAATCATACTTTGATAAAATTTCTAGTATTAAATCATCCCCTGGCATTTCCATTATTTAACGTTTGCTAAACTGCCAGCTTGTTAGAAAAACCATACCAACCATCAGAGATCTGACCTAAACGTAGACAAGACACTCACCAATACTGCCAAACACGCAAAAAAGAATGACATTCTATATTATAGTGGATGACCGCCCCCTTCCCAGATTAGAGCCTTTCTTATTATGACCATGGCAAAGAATTACTAAAGAGAAAAGCAACCTCCCCAAAAGGGATTGTTACAAAGTAGGCAAAAGCACAGAGAGACACTAAAGGGCTAACGTACCTTTTCAAGACTAATTTTGGCCTAGATCAACCTTGCCTAAAGAATGTTCTAAGATTTGAAGGTGCTTGATGAAAAAAGGAGTTCAGAGTCAAGTGAAACGCTAGGTTAAGCAGATTGCTTTACTGCAGAACTTCTCACAGCCTTTTCTCCAGAAAATAGGTCCTAAGATACCCTTTTATTTTTTTGGGGTTGGGGGAACATCTTGATGGGCTAACTTCCTTTGGAGCACGCTTAGGGAAATGCCAGGTTAGTGTTTACCTTAACCTTCAACAGTGCCAGAGATAAATAGTAAGTCGATCAAGAGAAATGAATTGGTATGCTAGTTACCTATTTGGACTTTGGCTGTATAACACAACAACACTGCTCTGCATAATATCATAGAGTAATTTTTCCTTTTTATAATATTATAGGCTCTGTTATAAAGTAGTTTCATTTCTAAAACAGTAATCAAAGTATCAATAAACTGAACTGTATCTAAACATCAACAATTTTCACTTTGCTAGCTTCCCAAGTATCTTATTCAAATTCTTAATTGAACATTACACGCATTTTTATTGTTGTAAAGTTACACATAACACAACATTTGCCAATTCAACATTTTTCATATTTACAATTTAGTGCATTATTTTAATGTTTTTCTTCACCTTCAAAAATGCAGTTCTGGAAAAGGTTATTTCTAATGGATTCAGACAAAGATCATCAATGTCTGAAACCATCAGACAAAAGACTGAAGGGGAACTTCACAATGGAGGGATGAGATTCATCACCGAATCCAAGGATCAGACATTATGACTCTCTGATGTGACAAATATGGATGATACAGTCCCACCTGTGAAGTACTCTTACCCCCTCAAAAGTTGAAACTGAATCTAATCAAGGCTTCAGATCTTAACTTCCACTTTAAAAGAAAACAAACACACAAATCAAAATTGTGGGACATTCTATAGAACTAACCCATTTTCTTCAATAAGTCAATGACATACAAAAAAAACCGAAAACAAAACAAAGAAAGAAGAGACTTCCCTAGATTACTTGAGAGATATGTAACAACCAAATGTAATGTGTGGTCCTTGTCTGGATTCTGATTCACACAAGGCATCCTTAAAATGACAGTTTTGAGATAATTGGAAATATACAAACATGAACTGGGTTAAATGACACTGAGGAATTGTTCTTAATTTATAAGGTGTAATGGCACTGGGCTTAGGTAAAAAATTAACCAATTTCTTAGAGAAAAGTATCGCAATATGTAGAGGTGAAATGATACGAAGTCTGAAATCTGTTTTAAAGCACTTCAAGCAACAACAATAAAAGGCATAGATAATTCAAATGCTGCAAAATCTTGAAAACTAATGAATCAAGGTGATGGATATGTGTTACTACGCTCTGAATTTTGATATGTTTGAAAACTTTCACAATAAAAAAGGACTGCATTCCACTGACGTTTTATAACATTCATAAAATATAAAGGAATAAGTAATCAATAGATACCAATATTTTTAAAAGCCACTTATTAGGAGGAGCCCTGGTGGCGCAGTGGTTAAGAGCTTAGCTGCTAACCAAAAGGTCGACAGTTTGAATCCACCAGGAGCTCCTTGGAAACTCTATGGGGCAGTTCTACTATGTCTATAGGGTAGCTATGAGTCGGAATCGACTCGATGGCAATGTATGGGTACTTATTAGTAACTCAGAACTTTTAAAACTATAAGATTAAGGTACATTTTATAAAGGAAACGTTCAAGCTACGATACACATTTTAAGAGACATAATTGTTTATGTGTACTTTAACTGAACAGAAGGCTCTGGGAAAAAGAAAGAAAGCCTTTCCTTTTATTTTAAAAAGTAAACAACAACATGGGGAGGTTCTCACTGGTCTATCAGAGTCATAGAATTTTTCTTTAAGTAAGCTTGATCAATTAAATATAACATTTTTACTTAATAAGGTGTTGTCACATTCACATCTTCATTAATTTTATTAGAAGATGCTCAAATACCCTAAAATATAAATCTTCTCAGTATAATAATTCTCTTAAGTAATAAAATTACATAGAAAGAAGAATAAGGGATCAGTAATATCATCCTTTTACTATATTACAAAAAAGTAAAAAATATACTTTGCTTTAAAATATGAGCTACTTTATATGAAACTTTTTGATGATGGATAGATTTGAGATGTGTCCTAAATTTAAAGCAGAAAGTGAAGAGTAACATTGTATAACCTAAATACAAAATCACAGACCATTCTTTTTCCTCGCTTAATCTCCTGAAGTACAGTTTTAATATCAAAGTCTCCAAATTCTGCTCTTGATGTTGTTGTGAGCTGGACTGTGCCAGAAGAAAACAACTAGAGAAGAAAAATGCAGGAACGTTAACATTCAGAATCCTTGTGAGAAAAAGATTAGACAATATAATGACAAACGTGTTATATTACTTTAATTTCCTGAGGAAAAGGATTTTTCCTTAACAATCATGTACCATGGCGCAGTGGTTAAGAGCTTAGCTGCTAACCAAAGGTCGACAGTTTGAATCCACCAGGCACTCATACATATTCACATGTATGATTAAAATATAAACCAAAATAAGAATGAAATAAAACTAAGACTGGCAATGTGCAGCTCAGATTAAATATCTTCTTGCTTTAAATGATGAAGATTTGTAACCCTGTTGTCTCTCAACTGTTGTACATTTCCAACAAGTTTTTAAAGAGGGTTTTAAATCAGCAAATTTCAACCACAGATGCAGATCAGAATCATCTGGGGATTTTTTCTCAAAATAGGCATGTCTGGTATCTACTCCATGGGGAGCCTGGGTGCATATTTAGGATAAAGTCCCCCAAGTAAATGTGATATGCATCTCAGGTTAAGAATCTCTGATAAACATAATTTTTAAAATCTAATCATAAATGAGATGAGTACTTCAGTACAATCTAACTCAAAAACATTTACGTGTGCCTACTAGATGTCAGGCCTGGATCTAAGGATGCAAAGATAAGATACACTTCTTGTCCTTAGGAATCTACGAGTATTAGGAGAATAGGCTCATAAGTGAATAACTGTAACACAGTGTGTTAAGTTAATAACAGCGACATTTTTAACAGGTTTATAGAGTTGAAAATCTTACACTTATGAAATAGTTATAGAAAATCTTACACTTTATGAAATAGGTATAGATTATCTGGAATATATTAACTCTACAATTAGAATGGAGTATCTTGGTACAAATGGTTAATGCACTTGGCTGCTAACCGAAAGGTTGGCAGTTCAAGTTCACCCAGAGGCACCTCAGGAAAAAGGCTTGGTGCTCTACTTCCGAAAGATCAGCCATTGAAAACACTATGGAGCACAGCTCTACTCTGACACATACAGGGTTGCCATGAGTTGGAATCAACTCGACAACAACTCATTATAATTAGGATTCCTCAAATCCTACTAAAGCATACAAAAAAAAGAGAAAAAAAACAAACTTGTTGCTGTTAAGTTGATTCTGATTCATGGCAATCCCATGTGTTTCAGAGTAGAACTGTGCTCCATAGGGTTTTCAATGGCTATTATCTTAAGGACACAGATCACCAGGCCCTTCTTCCACAGTGCTGCTGGGTAGGCCAATCTTTCAGTTAGTAGTCGAGTGCAAACTGTTTGTGCTACCCAGGGATCCCTCCTAAAACATAAAGGCTGTGTTTTTAAAAATCTAAAGTTGATTAAGATTTGGATTATAGGATATGCTATTCCTAATTCTTAAACATGGATGCTAAGAAAAGTGCTGTATTTGGTTACCAGCTAAATGATTTTCAAAATAACCGGGGTTTAAAAGCACATAAAAATAACCATACTTACCATGCACTTATAATGTGCAGCTGCCTTTTTGGCATTAAATATATGCAGTTTTCCTCTAGCTTCATTTTCTTCCTCACCTACATGACAAAATCCACATTTAGGCCTGGTGTCACTAGGGCTGCTTCTGTGTGGAGACCTATCTCTCTGCGAATGCAAAAGAAAAAAAAATTCTTAAAAAAATCCATGAAAATAAGCTATTAGTATCTCAAACTTATTTAACATTTCAAATGATGAACTTAAATGATAAATAGTTTAAATTAAATACTCATGGTGCTACAAAAAGCATTTTTCTACTTACGTAGGAACTACTTTCCATTTCATCTGTTCCATGGGAGGATGTGGACCTGGTATCTTCCGACAGCCCTTTAAAATTAGTTTTTCTTGGCCTTCCTTTGCGACTTTTCTTTTTATTTTTAGGTGATGAGGGCTCCAGTTCATGTTCATTAAAACTTTCTTCTAAATCAGCTGCTTAAAAATTAACAGAAGCTTTATATGGACCAATCTTAAAATGTGCATTAGTTCATGGGTTCTTAGATCATAACATGTCTCCTTAGAATGAAATCACTTCCAGAAATGAGAATATTCTCCAGAAATGGTCTATGATACGTTCAACACAGCAACTTCATGTTTCATATAAATGCAACAAAAATCAAACATCAAAAAAGTTTTATTATAATTATTTTCTTTGAACTTGTAATTCTATAAAATTGAGTTTTGTGTTTTTGCCTGTATATATAATTCAGTCAACATTTTCAAACTCTAAAAATTAATTTTTATAATGCTGCTCCTGTATTTTTTTTTTTTACCATAGGTTTCAAAGAGTTTCACCTCACACCACTGGCGAAATTAGAACTTACCTAGAAAATAAACTTAATATGTAACTTAGAAAACCCATATGAAAATAAAGTAGGTTATTTGCACTGTCCAATATAGTAGCCACTAGCCACATGTGGCTTTTTAAATTTTAAGTCAATTATCATTAAATAAAATTAAAACCTCAGTTTCTCAGTTGCACTAACCACATTTCAAGAGCATATTAGCCACATGTGGCTAGTGGTGACCGTACTGGACAGCACAGAACATTTCCATCACTGTAGAAAGTTCTATTGGACAGCGCTGGTATGGACAGCTTCTCAAACTATAATGAAAAATGAATCACCAAATTCAACAAGGAAGTTACCTACAAATAAACTACCAACTGATCAAGCAATTAAACAAATATTAAGTACAAAAAGAATTTTCAAACTAAGCAGTAGAAAAGCTATGTTGTAAGTTAGCTGTGTATACTTGAAGGGATTAAATAAAATTTATGTATAGAAATTTTAGAACTGCATTTCCCAACAATTTGAAAAAAATGTCTACCATTATTGGAAGAGGTGTTATTCACTTACCAATATTTTATTTATTGAGGGCCTACTGTAGACAAACAATGTATTTACTGTTCAAAAAGGTATAAAAAACAAATGAATGTTCACTTAGCTTCGGGCAAAACTATAAACTCTTAGACACAGCTATAATATCTTAATTTTTCCTCCTTTACCACAAGTTATTGATTATGATTTCAGGAACTAATTTCTCAATTATAAAGCATATCAATTTCTTATCAGACGTTAGTATCTTTCCTAATAAAAATTTTAAGGTATTTTTTAAAAAGAAATAAAAGCATATTCATTATGGTAGGAAAAGGGTAGTTCAATTGGTGTACTTTAATATATAAACTCAGGCAACTGTAAGCATTAGATTGTTTGCAACACAGTTAACAATTTATATGAATGCAAATTTGTATATCTATGATAGGATTTGAGAGAGGAAAAACGGGGAAAAGATAAAAGTTATTGGAGAGTATGTTACAGGCAACACGACAAATTCATGTGAATAACTCTCCTTGAAAAGAATAAGTCAATTAAAGATGTTTTCTTCTGACCTTAAATTAACACTACAGGAGATTTTATATCAGAAAACAGTATCTACTTTTAACATTCAAAATGAGAATCACTGCACTATTAAAGCATCTATAAAGAAATTACTTAAGAACTGATTCCATTATTGGGACAACATGCTAATTTTCCACAGGACACATTTGTCTATTGTAAATATGCAATCGTTCAGTGAAAAATTATAGTGGACTTTAACAGCAATAGAAAAACACACAAAGGGTTCCTAGGCTTTCACACTTATGAAAATAAGAAAAAGTAATAACTAAAAGGCAAACACTAAATGGAAAAATATCTGCTGTACCTGTGACAAAGGATTAATAACTATGATACAATAAACTCATATAAGATTAATACTCCAACAAAAAAATGGATCAAGGATATGATCAGACAATTCAGACTATAAACCAAAAAACCAAACCCATTGCTGTTGAGTTGATTCCGACTCATAGTAACCCTACAGGACAGAGCAGAAGTGCCCCATAGGGTTTCCAAGGCTATAAGTCTTCATGGGAGCAGGCAGACTACCACATCTTTCTCCCATGGAGCTGCTGGTAGGTTCAAACCACCAACCTTTCAGTTAGCAGCCGAGCGCTTACACTGCACCACCAGGACATCTTTCACAAGACTTCAAGGGGTTAATAAACATATTTTTTAAAAATTCTAAAGTCTCTAGAATCAAAGAAGTGTAAATTAAGTGATATACCATTTTCACCTATCAAAATAGCAGAATTTAAATAGTTATAAAAAGCAACAATAAGCCTCCAGTGACAGACAGGTGGTGAGTGTGCACAAGGTATATTGGCCAGGAATCAAACCCACGTCTCCCTCATGGAAGGTGAAAATTCTGCCATTGAACCACCACTGTCCTCACTGAAGACTCTGATTATCACATAAAAATGTCTCTAAACTGCTATTTAGTAAAAGTACAGAAAACTAGGAATTACAGCTATTCTAGTGAAAAAACAAGGGAAAGAAAATATTAAACAAATATTAAAGCAGGCAGTCTTTAAATTATAACATGCTTTCAACATACTTCTAATACAACTATGGTAATTCTATCTTCTGAGACATAAATTGAGTTATAAGATCTGACAAGTAGTCTATCATATTAGGTCTCAAAACTTCCCATTAGGGAATACATCAGGTCCCTGAATAAAATCAAAACTAGAGCCTCCAAGGTTAGATACAAAGGATTCCTTTACGTTGTCTCACAAAACTTGGGACTTGATGGTCACTGTAATTCTACCACTTATCACTAGTGTTTCTTTTTAAGTAATTTCAGGCTTGCAAAAAAAAGTTGTAAAAATAGAATTACTGTACAGTATACTCTTCACCCAGATTCCACAAATATTAATATTTTACATTTGCTTGATCATTCTCTGTATGTATGTATGTATGTATGTATATATACACACACAGACTTTTTTTTCTGAAAGCTTGAAGAGTAAGTTACACGATCCTTTAAGAGACATGATGATGTTTTATCTCTAAATACTTCCATGTACCATCACTGTATTTTACTCAGTTGATCACATATCTGTCACTAAATCGTGTCCTCCTCCACCTTCCAAAAACTGAGATTGTGTTTTATTAATTCATCTTGCTCTACTAAAACCTGGCACAAGAGAAGCTATGGGAGAAGTGACATCCAAAAATAAATGACACATTAAATACTGTGCTTAGTTCCAAGTCAAAGAAACAGAAGAGGTTACAAACATTTCTTGAGCACCAGTATCATACAAGACATTATACATTGGGTAACTTAAGAGAAACAGTAAGTCACAGGTTTGGTTCCTTACAATTTCAAGAACCTAAACTGAGCTGAGATTATGTTTGTGGTCATGACTTTTATTTTACACATTCTTGTTGTGAATAGTTATCACCCAGCATCAATTCCAGATCACTTTTTTAATCAGATTATTTTGCTCAATATAAATTATTACATACAAAGGCCTTAACCCCTTAATGAAAATGACTTTAAAAGAACCACCATTCATACCTATTCCTAGTTCCTCGTAGATACTCAGAAGTTTAATGATGACAAGCTGTCCTAGCAAAGCACTACTACAAAACGGAGACTTTGTCAGTTATGAACTACAGCTATTTACTTTACCAAGGTTTGGCATTTTTGAAATATTGCTTAAAAGAAAAAAAGTACAGAATATAGCCATTTTCCAGACACATAAGCAAAAGGGGATAAAAACACGTAATAAGATGTAGGACTTAATTCTGGCTATTTCTGATCGTTTTTAAAGCATAAATTCCTTTTAAGAATAGGAAAGCATTACACACCATGGCAATTTTACTTAATGTTATTCAAAAACTTTCTTCTCATAGGAACTGGTTGAGAGCCCTGCAAAAATTCAGCTTTCACACAGGCCCATCAATGAAGGCAGTGGGATATTGTGGAAAGGGGTAAGAATATCTGGGACTGGGCTTGGGGCTTGCCTTTGGTACTCAGTAGCTGTATGACTTCGAGCAAGTTTCTTAATCATCCTGAACCTCAGTTGTTTTCACCCATTTTCTGTGGGGATCATGCAGATAGGCTGTAAGATGAAGACATTACTATTATTATTTCTGATGGTGCTCCAGGCTATGTGTTATGTAGGCATTTGTCTTGCATAGGCCTATCAATTATACTTGTTATTCAGGTCAGTACACTGCAGGGGCTCAATAAATAAGAGCTATTACTATTACTCATTTAAAACATTTCTGTACTTCTAAAATGTTTGCTCAAAATTACATGACTATGTAGGATCACAATATTTTGAATTTCTCTTAGGTATCTGGAACATCTTTTCCAGGCTGCTGTTTTATTCTTGGGAAGTGCTAAGGACCAAGGTCCTTTTTAAACTCATGGCTCACTTTAGTTTATCAGGAATAGTGAGGATGTGGAGAAATCAGAACCCTTAGACATTGCTAGTGGGAATGTAAAATGGTACAGCCACTTTGGAAAACAGTCTGGTGGTTGCTCAAAAAGTTAAAACATAGAATTAACCACATGATTCAGCAATTCCACTGCTAGGTACATACCCAAGAGAATCAAAAAAGTACGTTCACATAAAAACTTGTACACAAATGTTCATAGCAGCATTATTCATAATAGCCAAAAAGTAGAAACCACCTAAATGTCCATTAACTAATAAATGGATAAACAAAATGTGGAATGTACATAAAATGGACTATTATTGGGCAATAAAAAAGGAATGAGATACTAATACATGCTACAGCATGGATGAACCTTGAAAACATTATGCTAAGTTGAAGGAAGACAGTCACAAAAGGACAAATATTGTAGGATTCCACTTATATGAAATGTCCAGAACAGGAGGTAGATAAGGGATGGGGTGAGTGGAAGGTTAGGGGAAGATGTGGGAGTGACTGTTAATGGGTATGGGGTTTCTTTTCAGGTGATGAATTAGATAGCGGTGATGGTTGCACAACCTTGTGAAGATACTAAAAAAACACTGAATTGTATACTTAAAAAAACAGACTATAAAAAAGCACAAACAACCTACATGGTCTGCA